TAATTTTCCTCAGACATGAAACTGTGTAAGTGTACATACTAAAATAGATCATAAAAAAATACAAAGTATGCGTAATATGATTTCAATAGTTAAATTGCCTTTCAGTATATTAGCGTTGCTTCTCATGCCGAAGATGTATTTCTTCAGACTCTTCACTTAAACATAGTAACGCTGTTTCCAGCTTTCCATCTGTTCTCATTCTTTTTAATCTTAGTAGGAAAGTTATTAAATTATTGACATTGTGTAAAATACTCTTTCTTTGTTTCAAGGTAATCACTCAACTCAAAATTTGGCGTACTTTTTTATTATTCAACACAACCACTTTTAGCAAATGATTAGCTAGTTATGAACATCACGTTCACAGCTACGTATTGTATGGGTTGTTTCATGGGAAGTCAACCACAAAAAAAACAAAGTATTTTAAAAAAAAAAATTTCTAGTGGATTTTGTGGAGCTCTTTTTGCTGATTATTTTCGTAAAAAAGTATTTTAGATTCCTGTTAGAAATGATGATGTCATTGTCAAAACACTGATAAGCGTAAAATAGCTGAAAATTGCATTTTCGTATTTTTTCCAGAAGAGGATATTGCAATATGTATGCCATTGTTTCTAGGGGTGGAAAGTTCCCGTTATGTTCCCGGATAACGGTAACTTTTCCGTTACCAGTTACCCGGAAACGGGGTAACGGACCGTTACCCCGTTACGCGGGAACGTAATGGGAACTTCCCACCCCTAGGTGTGAGTGAGGGTGGTTGTGTGGATATGGATGTGGGTGGGGTGTAGGTGAATGTGCCTATGGGTCTGGATCTGAGTGTGCCGATGTGGATGTGGGTGTCTGGGTGGGTGAGGTGTGGGTCGGGTGTAGGTAGGTCCGGGTCTGGGTCTGAGTGTGGATGTGACCGTGTGGGTGTGGGACTGGGTCTGGGTGTGAACGTATGTGTAAGTTCTCTGTCTTCACATTTACGCTCGCACCCAGATCCACCCACATAGCAATCAACGTCACACGTAAGATTTTCTGAATCAGGTATCGGTTCGCCATTTTGAATAAAATATCTCATTTAATATAATATATAGAATATAACAAACAATTTTATTATTGAAGCTATAAAACTAGAAACACAGACAAAGTCTAGCTATACAAATCAAATTTTGATTAATACAATATTAATATGCAAGTTTCATTTTTGAGAGGCATGAAGAACTAGGCTTATAAAACTTATGATGAAAGTAAAAAAAGCATTGCTTTCATAAAACAGTGTAAGCATCGAACACTTTTTGCTTGTGGGCGAATGTGGGTGTGGGTAACTGTTGGTGTAGATGAACTCATCCAAATCAATATCAGAACATCCATACGCAAAACAGTTTATTCTCTTCTTTTACATCCATATTCATAATGTATAGTGTAGATTCAGTCTAGCACACTCGAAAATTAACACAAGAAAAAACGAATTTTCAAGATTAAAAGAAAGACGATAAAATATAAATTATTTTGATTTATTCAAGAAAAATAAGCGAAAGATTCTTGACTATAGTTATAAAGAATTCGTTTCTTGATTAACTCAGATATCTAAATGATGCTTTCATACATAATAACTGTGAGAAATGAGTACGTCAGTTAAAATAGTAAGTTGATCATCAGTGAACTTTTCTCGATGTTCGTGCCATAAATCTTGATGTGTGTGACGAAAATTTGATAGACATTCTTTTATTGATTTCTAAGTACAAAAATGATTTTCTATTAACCAATGACGGTGGTTAAAAAATTGTACTCACTTGTATTAGTTGCAAGTCATGTGAATGTTCACAAAGAAGCATTAAAACATTTGGTATATATTTTGGAATATCATACGGACTCGAGAGAATAATGGCACAAAGACCCAACACGCCTAAAATGATAGATTATTGTATATTTATTTGAGAACTCTCACTTTACATGAAATTTGAAAGATTCATTGTAAATATTTAACAGTATTTGGGCTGTCAGATTAAAAAGTTATAATACGGATGTATTTATTCTATTGAAATTTGAAAGAATTCAAAACAAAATAAATACGAAAATTAATCGGAAACATTGTTATGTAATATTTCAACGTAAATTTTATAATATATCTTAGGAAAATATACTGTTTCTTGTTGTTTGTTATTTATTTAACACGAAAATTTTTCATGATAAAAAAAAAGTTCAATCTTATATTTGTCCTTAAAATTAAAATTTCATATTCATCGTTCAGGTTTACTAGAATTGAATTTAAACTACATAAATTGATAAATAAAATTTAGTTCATTTTAGAAATGATTATTTATTCTAATGATATTTGATCTGATTCAAATAAACTTGAAATTAAAGTAAGACTGTTGTATTGCAAAGGTTTAGTTCGAATACAGTGAATTAACGATAATATATACTAACCACAATGTCTTTTGATAATATTCTTTGTCGATGCCATGCTATTGTTATTAGTTGTCGTATGATAATTGGTCTTACTCATCATACGAAAAAATTTCTTTTTGAATGAAAAAGAAATGAAAATTTCGTTTCCAGAAGAGAAAATCAATATATTATCCTACCAAATCTTCATCAGTCACTGGAATATAACCACATTGATAAAGACCTGATAAAGTCTTCGATGCAATTATTCGTACTTCTAATTGTTCATCAACTAGAGATTTGAATACAAGATTATGTATTCGATTAGCATAAGAACGAGCATTAAAAAAATTAGAAAAGATCATTGTTTGAATAAATTCAATGACTACTTGACGTGCATGCCATGTAGAACTCCCATATACCTGTATATTAAAACAGATAAATTTATTTTAATTGATCTTTTGTATACATACGTTTTCCAATTGTTGAATAAGTGCTTCCAAAAAGTGTGCATTTAAATAAGCCATACCAACACACAATCGACTCTCTATTAAATTCCACTTAATTAAATCATTATTAGCTACAATACTTTCAATTTTACAAAGCTTAATAAATAATAAAGAGATATATAATATGTTAATAGATAAATGATTCATGGAGTCTTACATAGGGAAAAATACGAATAATCGCGCTTTTCATCGGTTGCTTGTTGCAGAAAAAAATCGCTCTGTGTATTTTAACGACTAGATTATGTCCGAAAAAGAAAAGAAACTAATGAAGTTACTATTGATGAGTAACAAATATTAAACATATCTACCTGTATCAATGAAATCTAACATTTGACGAAATTCAGAATCGATTTCAATGCTTTTATCAGATATACTAACTAAATGTGATATTTGAACATAAATTATTTTTTTTAAATATCAGTACAAACTAATGCTTTACTTGGTGGTGTTTTTTCGTAGATTTCAATGACTTGTAACAATTGTTCACGTATTTCATCGATATATTGATCGACACTAGGTTGACGTGCCATGTTTCCACGAGGCAATGTCAAATCAAAACTGAGCGAGAGAGATAAAACACTAAACAATAATATTTTGTTTTTTAGTGAACATCAGCAAATGAAATTAGGAGTTTTTCTTACGTCACTGCACGATCTCGCACAACTTGAAACGAATGGTTCAACAGTTTCTTGACATGTTCATTAATAGAACACCAAATAGATGGGATACGCCATTGAAAAATGCTTAACTGTTGAATAAGATACCAACGCGATGTCTCTGTCAAAGTATTAACCTTTATTTGATTATTAATCAATGAACAAAGAAATTGAATGGTTCGATACATTCGACGTGGATCTCTATTTTCCTTAAAAATTTATCTTTTATTTAATATATGAAAGACTACGAAAATATATAGGAATAACAACTGACCATAGCATATTTGAAGCATGAGCCCCAGTACAACCATGTATTGGGACTAAAATTGTTACAAACTTCATTGAGAAATGGTGTTAACTTTTTCCACAATTCATCAAGCTAAATTTATCGATTCAAAAAGAACTTTCTTGAATTAAAATTACTAAGGAACATGATCCTACCATTTCAAGTGTCCAACATTTGGAACCACGAATCATGCCAGCTACAATTTCTGCTGCCACTTGATGACTCTTCTATTGTTTTTCTTTTGTCTTTTCATGAATAAGTATATACAATTGTTCCATGAAGTTATCAAAAAATGCAAGACCAAAATTTCGAAAGAGACCCTAGATAACAACAATCCATTCATATATTCAACTTCAGAGTTGAGAACAATGATTGTTTCGATGAAATAGTAATCACATCTCAACTATTATGAGACCTAAAAAGCCTTTTTATTGTCCTATAAAAAACAACTTTCTCAACATCTCGCATAGGATGTGGTGCAATGATTATCCTATTCGATATATTTACCTTAAATAAAAAAAAACGAGTTATATTAAACTTTATCTTGTCATCATCGTCTGCATCTAAAACCATAAACCGTATCATCCGTTTCACGAAATTTCCATCTATAAATTGATTATATAAGATAGCCACTTGTTCTGACATATTAGTTCGTGAGTAACATTCACGTTTATTTATGGCATATTTGATTATTTTAGGCCATGTGTTAAAGCCATGGAATGATTTGTCCAAAAAGCAAGTTTGTTCCCATTCGATCTGCGTTTTAGGAGGAACATAGCCATCGATCGTAAGCCATACATTATCATCCCGATCCCCAGGATGATGCTCATCGTTAATATTTATTGTTGATAATTGTCCGTTATTTTGAAAAATTTCATTCAGAGACTTTTCTTCATAGACAAGTTTAGGTTTTTGTAATCGACAAACTCCTGCAATAATATTCACAGCCAACTAAATAAATTCAAATTGAAACATATATTTATTATGATAAATTACTAAACCTTTCGAAATTCTATATTATCATGGATGAGAAGATCAACAAATGTCTGAATACAACAATTCAAAATTGGTATATGCTTTTCAAAAGCGTAGGTCATCAACAACATAGCTATTTGTTGTTGTTTCCATGTTCTTTATGTTAATATTGAACATAAAAGAAAAATTTCCAAAATTTAAGGAAAAAAAGGACTTACACTGTATTTCTAATGAGAAACAAATAGAGTTTTTCCATAAGATTATTGTACGATTCAATGTTGATTCTATATTGTTCTTCATGAACTTGATAACCCGCTTGAATTTCATTCGATTCTAATGGGCGCCAAAGAGCCACTGCCGTACGTATTGATTCTTCGTTTGTATTTTGAATAATTCCTTTCGTAATAAACTCTTTTTTTATTTTTCGACTAATCTGCTGAATCAAGTTTTGAATAGTGAGTTTTTCAGTATGATTAATACTTGGTATCAATGGCCACAATTTTTCCATTTTAGCCCATGTAATATTTTTGAGTAAGAAAAATGAGTCATTACCAAGAAGTATATACAAACATCCCTGTGAAACAGTGAAAATAGTAAATAAATTTAATAGATATGACCCAACCTTCACTTGATCATGATCAGCTTCGTTTTTTGTATTTAATATCTCGATAATTCGATCTATAATTGTATTGCATGAGAATGTATAGAGATTAAGAACAGAAAATAACTCTTCTTGTGCAATACGACGTACCTGAATAGTCGAATAGATATATATTCAATATTAGAAAACTTATTTAAAAATTTATCATTTACTTCACTGTATCGATTAATTGACAATTCGAATAGTTTATCTACAATTTGTTTATCAACTTCTGTAAAAGGTTTCAAATTATACAGAACAAATTCCTAAACGAAAATAATTGTTCTTATACCTGCCTTTTTTGAAAACGTTAATTACTCAGATACAAAAAAAGGTGAGAAAAATCATTCAGCTTATATCTAATCGTATTGAGCTAATTGATCATCACAATACAAGCACTATTTTCGAGTTTACGAGCATTTTCTAACATTCTGACAAATGTCAATTTCCCTACTTTGTTATTCTGCATGCAAAATTAAATAAAGAAAATTAAATTTACTATTTTTCTATCATATGATAAATGTTCCTTAATTGAAATGTGCTAATATTTATGATAAATTTGTTTTACTTATTGTAAATCAGCAGTATGCAGAATGAAAAATCTATAATAAAACCCTTCATATATCCCAATTTTCAAAATATAAGAATTTATTTCATTGAATATAGGCATGTTTAGTAAACATTAGGCGCACATCTACATGTATTTGATGATTTTTAAGTTTGAATGATATTTAGGAGTCAACTCATAAATAGTAATGAAAGAAAGAAGTGGAGAAAGATTAGACGATGCTGAACAAGTTCTCACAAAATAAATGACAATGGATTAAATATAGTAGAACATTCAGAGAACATTTTTTTAATATCATAAGTATCTTTTACAATGCGAATTTGATATGGAAAAGAAAATTAGATCTTTTAATGTAATTAATAAGATTAGAGTAAAATATGCAAACATTTATTTTCAAATGTATTTACTGAATATATTCAACTCGACCAGTAAGCTTTTTCTTCTATTTAAAATAAAATTCATATGAAGATTTTCATTTTTTGATTACCTGTATTTGTAGTGCTATTCTTTCGATTGCTAAAAATCGAAAACCTTGCTTTTCATCGTAAATTTTATTTTCGACTAATCTTCTTTTAGAGCATAAATATAAGTACCATTCACCAGTATCTCTACTCGATATACCATAATAGATGGACAATAATGAAACAATCTATACTTAAACGAATTCTTTTATTAAATATATTGAAATCGATAGAAATTCATTTATATTTGCCTTAAGAGCTGTTTTTATTGAAGAAATATCATCCAAATGATTTTCTACAAGTATATCTAGAATTGAAATCAAATATTATACTACTCATTAATTTATGGATGACTCACCTAGGAATTTTCCAATATCAGTTAGAAGACGCATTCGTAAATTCTCTCGAAATTCTAAAAACAAAACTATCATGATAAACATATATTTCTATTGCACATCATTGGATTACTCGGTTCATTATCATACAAAAAAGTTTGATTTTTAAATTTTGAATTGTAAGGAACAACTGATAATATACTACAGTAATAAAAAATATATTTCTTTACTCAAGCATTTTCTCATGTTAGATTGTTCCCTTACAGATCTATTACATATTCGCTTTTAATACATGGTACCATACGAAGACATCCAAGAGCGATGTGATAAATAAATGTCAGAGATCTTAATCGTTCGTGATTTGACAATTCTAGACTTTTCTCATTCAACAGTGTCAATTCGGGATAAAGAAATGTATCAACAAATTCACAAATAAAATCAATTTCATTTGCATTTGGAATATGATATTGAACTTGGTTTTGATCAAAATTGACAGGTTGTCCCCATATCTAAGTAATCATAACAATAGTTGATTTGAGATTCCTGAAGTTCATTAATAGGACTTTCGCCAATAAATCTCTGTACCTTCGCCATTGGCGAAGTTCAGATAAGTCGTTGATTCTATTCTTGAAATTCAAAAGAAAAGAATATTCTTACCCGAATTGGTAAAAACTTAATGAATGATTCATCGACATTCTCAATTGTTAATCGATATTCGATTGGATATATATCACTGAGTGAATCAAGTAAATTTCTGGCTGTCTTAGCCATAATTCTACATGAATCTTTGTGAATAATAGGAATACATCGATGAAAAACCGTCATAATTATTCTTTTGTAATCTAGCAAAATATCACCACGAGCATGAATAAGTTCAGAGAAAATAGATAAATACCAAATGAGTTCAAGATTTTCTGTACCATTCATGAATAAATCTTTTGTATTAATATTATTCATAATCTTTTCAATTGATTCACATGTTTGAGGTAAAAAACATCGAAGTGTTTCAATTGGATTACCACCGACCATTGCTCGGATGAGAGCAGATACAAGACCTCTGACTCTTGGTGAAATATATGTACCAGAAAGAAATATTCTTATTTTTTCTTGAATCAACTAAAACGAACGCAAATGTAAGTATTAAAATATATTTCTAAATGAATATAGATCGAATATATAATCTTAATTATTTTGATCATTACTATATATACGCACTTGATAGATTTTGTTACTACATTGTTGAATAATATTACATAGAATTGATCGAACTAATGATTCGATATCTTTATTGTCAGTGTTTACATCGTCAATGATAAGTGTATCATCGGAAATATCTGTTGATAAGATTTCAATTATTCGAAATACTTGATTTAGAAATGCAATAATAAAACTTTCAAATTGATTAGTTGATAGACATACTTGTTTTTCAATCTACAACAAAATATATTTACATTTTTTCTTTTGTTTTTATTAGAATCTCATTAAAAAGCTCACATCTGTTAGATCATTTCGAATATCTACTGCTGATGAACAATCAATACAGACAATAAGTGAGAAAATAGTATTCAGAAATTTTAATGTTGTTAATGTCTTTTCGGAATCATTTAAATCAATTCCAGGTAATACAGACATAAGCAATGGTAATAAATATATTTGTCCATGATAGTAAGAAGACGTTTGCTGAACTATTTGACGAGCAACATATGTTAAACATTTTAGAATTGATGTAAAACGATATGGTTCAGTGATATTATCAATACTTGAGAAGAAACTAGAAATAAATTAAGAATATAAGAGTAGAAAAAAAAAAAAAGAAAAGTTTCTGACTTTTCAATTATGGATGGTATAATTAACTGTGGTCGAAGCATAGAAAGATATTGGCAGGCTTCTATGGCTTCGTTTCCGTATTGCTTATTGAAAATAGAAATAAAGACATAATCTTTGATACAATTTACAAAATCTGTAATATTTTGTTCTGTTAGTCGATAGGATTCCTGTGGTTGAAAATACCAATAGGGATTAGTTTTACGTTCTCTAGAAAAATCTGAATGAATGTAATTGTCACAATAATGTACAAGATTCATTCTCACAAACGGACTCGATCGACAAAATATTCAGCAAGGTTTAACACGAATTTGACCAGATCTTTTTGAAATTTTCCTGTATTTGACGGATGATAAAAGCTTTTGATTGTTTTAAATAAATCGCATAGATATTGAAGACATAAACTTCGATTACCAAACATGGCAACAATCCATCTTGCAGTGTCCGATGTAGAATAGCTGTATTTTTGTGAAGACATTTTCATTTTGCCAATAGGTAATGCAAAGCCTCTAAGTATACGTGTAAAAATCTATCACACAAAAAGAAATGTATTCATATTGTGATATATTTATAATTGTATTGACACCTGTGATAACCATGGTTCCCAATCGATATAACCAATATTATTCCAGGCTACTCTGGAGAATATGTTGATCATACACTAAATCGAATCATTCATATTAGAAAATATGATTAGTAAAAAGATATTCACCAATTCCCATACTGTTATATTGTAGAGACTTTGCCAAATATCGAAAAATTCCCACAGCCACAATCTAAATTATAAAAATAACGAACAATATTATTACACATTGCAAGGAAAAAATGATTAATACAAACTTAAATCCTTGACTATGTAAATCTGAAGGTAGATTATATGGTAGGAAATATATTAAGACATTCAGAATATTATAGAAGTTTTCGTCGAGTGGACACATTTGTGAACGAAAGAATTCAAGCATTTCTTGAGTAGCTGTGACTGAAAAATATGGAGAACATCGATAGGCACACCACAGGATCGAAAACTTGAGGTCTCTAGGAAACAGAATAAAACATGATTCTCATAGTCAAATGTATGAACTTCAAACTTCGATAAAGTGACCAATCCATAGTTTTCATCATGATTATTTTGAATTATTTTAACCCATCGATAGAGTTTATGCCAGTCAATAATTAGATCATCTCTCGTAATTAGATGAGTTTTTCTAAAAAAAACGAATAGAATTATTGAATAATATTTCAATAGACTTTTGAAAAACTTTCAACACAAACCGTAAAAGATCAGAAAGTAAATTACAACATATTTCTACATTTGTATAATGGAGATCAGTTATAGAAAGAATTGATAGATAAAAATTAATGAGCTTTAGATGATCGATTTTAGTAAAATAGAATCTATAGAGATAAATGAATCGTTGCAATTCTTTCGACCAAAATGAAAAACCCGGATGCAATTCATTCAATTGAATGGTACGAGATAAATTTTCTCGAATTTCATCGAAAATTTTAAAACCTTGTAGTTTGATTGATTCATTAAATGGTAAATATTGATTATAAAAATTAGGTTTCTGCAGCTCCCTATCGTGCATCGTGCTGTCTATGTTTGTAGTGCACATGCTATTGATCGCCATAATCGTCAATTACCATAGCTAACGAAAAAAACATTAAATATGCACAAAAATATTGCAATATGTAAGTATTATAAACTGGGCAAAGAAGCATTAAAAAATATCAATGAGTCAAAATAATCATTCTTGTTGAGAAACAAAATTTGTAATGCAAATATTCTAAGTGTTAATGTTCTCATCATGAATGATTCAGAAAGTTTCGTCATTCTTTTCTTGGTTTCAGAACGAGATAAGAACGATATTGAAGCGAAAATAACCAAAACAGAAGAGAAAAAAGAATCGTCGAAACGCAAAATAGTACTTCATTTAAATGTTAAGTCAAATCTCCTTTTCTTAGGTCTCATGACATACTCATGATGTTTTTTTCCTCTTGTACACGAACGAATCAGACACATCGAAAGAGTAATAGGGAGAAATAAAGCCTCAATGCATGTTTTACACAGCGAAGAGAGAAACAGAAGGGTGTGGGTGTGAGTGTGGACGGATGTGTGGATGTGGGTATGAGTGTTAATGTTATCTCAGTTCACACCTACACCCACGCCCATACCTACACCCATGCCTACAACCATGACCATATCCACACCCACCCTTTAAATGAAGATAAACGTAAACTATGATATGATAAGCAAGATTTTTTTTTTGAAAATATACATTATTTTTATTTTCTTTTGAAATGTTAATTATTTTTCAAATAGAAAATAATATTTTCCAAATATTGATGATCAAAAAACAATTTCTTTTCAAAGAAAGTTAAAAAAATTCTCACTTAATTCTATTTAGCTTTATCTAACTAATTTTCGATTTTATAATAAACATTTTTTATTAATATTAAATTTTGAGAAAGTGTAAATCAAACTACATTAATTAGCATCTTAGAATGTGTATTGACATGTTAAAGTTCATCACTTGATCATATGGTTCAATCGGATAAAGTATGGGCAAGTAACATATGCTATTCATGTTCGAATCTAAATCTGTGCATATACTTCTATCATTTAGACTAGTTTGGGCTAGCGCACTACCTAGAAGTAGATCCTGATAGACGTTTTCTTTTTAATTTATAATCTATTTCGGATGGGTCCTAAACATTCCAAATGATTTGGAACTATTATCCGTTTCAAAATAGAAGAGACCTTAGTGTTTTTTTAATAACTTTTGAACGGAACATGATAGAGAACTGCGGTTTTGACCATTGGACAGAGAAATGTTGGGGCCAGATTTCAATACAAAATTTGATTGGTTCATAATGGACCAATCATATAAAATCCCAACGGACATTTTGCAAACATTATTTTGAACGCAATTCTGATATTGTTATGGATTCTGTCATGACAATTTGGTAGAAAAAAATGTTCTCTTTCGATCTAGACAAGGCCCA